TACATTATTCCCCTACTACTATATGTTTTGGTTTTTGGCAGACGAGGATACTTCAGAGTTAGATATTAGGCTTGGGTAACCACGGAAAAATTTGGTTCTAAACTCTTTTCATTTTTAGGGGGCCCTTGCATTTCGTTTTTTTAAAGAATTCCGAAACTTTCCTTTTAAAAATTTCGAAATATACGAAATTTCGTAAAATTACGAATCGATTCGTTAATGGCGGACGCAATTGCGCAATATGCTAAAAAAAACCTCCAAATGGGACAGGGGGGACTTCTGAAGCTTCCCTCTCCCCCTGTTGTTGACTGTTGGTGTGATAAAACACACAACAACTATATTATATTATATTATATTATATTATTATAATATTATTATATTATATTGTTGTATATTATATTATAATATTATAATATTATATTATTGTATATTATTATTTTATATTATATTATATTACTTTATATCTATATATATAAATTTCCTCCTGGCGTCGTATGAGGAAACAAAACTCTAAAACCCCCCAACGAAACTCCACCAAACTTCCCATGCCCCAAGGGCAACCAACAAGGTACAAACTAATCCACTCAGAAATCAAAAACACACAACAACAACCACAATAAACGGCAAAGCAACTGAGCATGCGCACTGGCGCAAACTCCCTGGCGCGCGCACACACATGGCCCCTCACCCTCCCCCCCGGCGCGGCACACACACGCGCGCGCGCACGGCCCCTCCCCCCCCGGCGCGGCACACACACACACACGCGTGCCCCCTCTCCCCCCCGGCGCGGCACACACGCGCGCGCGCACCCCCAACCCCCCCCGGCGCGGCACACGCGCGCGCGCGCGCCCCCTCTCCCCCCTCCGGTGCGGCACACGCACGCACGCGCGCCCGCGCGCCCCCTCACTCCCCTGGCGCGGCACACACGCGCGCGTGTGCGCCCCCTCTCCCCCCCGCGCGGCACACACGCGCGCGCGCGCCCCCATCCCCCCTCCCCTCCTCCCTCTTACCCTCCTCACGTTACCTCCAAGCCCACGCCCCTTCTAAACCCATCCCCCCTCCCTCCTCACGTTACCTCCAAGCCACGCCCCCTTCTAAACCCATCCCCCCTCCCCTCCTCCCTCCTCACGTTACCTCCAAGCCACGCCCCCTTCTAAACCCATCCCCCCCCTCCTCCCTCCTCACGTTACCTCCAAGCCACGCCCCCTTCTAAACCCATCCCCCTCCCCCCTCCCCTCCTCACGTTACCCCCAAGCCACGCCCCTTCTAAACCCATCCCCCTCCCCTCCTCCCTCCTCACGTTACCTCCAAGCCACGCCCCCTTCTAAACCCATCCCCCCTCCCCTCCTCCCTCCTCACGTTACCTCCAAGCCACGCCCCTTCTAAACCCATCCCCCCTCCCCTCCTCCCTCCTCACGTTACCTCCAAGCCCCGCCCCCTTCTAAACCCATCCCCCCTCCCCCCCTCCCTCCTCACGTTACCTCCAAGCCACGCCCCCTTCTAAACCCATCCCCCTCCCCTCCTCCCTCCTCACGTTACCTCCAAGCCACGCCCCCTTCTAAACCCATCCCCCCTCCCCTCCCCCTCCTCATGTTACCTCCAAGCCACGCCCCCTTCTAAACCCATCCCCCCTCCCCTCCTCCCTCCTCACGTTACCTCCAAGCCACGCCCCCTTCTAAACCCATCCCCCCTCCCCCTACCCTCCTCACGTTACCTCCAAGCCGTGCCCCCTTCTAAACCCATCCCCCCTCCCCTCCTCCCTCCTCACGTTACCTCCAAGCCACGCCCCCTTCTAAACCCATCCCCCCCTCCCCTCCTCCCTCCTCACGTTACCTCCAAGCCGCGCCCCCTTCTAATCTGTCAAGGAAGAATCATAGAATCAAAGAGTTGGAAGAGACCTCATGGGCCATCCAGTCCAACCCCATTCTGCCAAGAAGCAGGAATATTGCATTCAAATCACCCCTGACAGGAGAGAAAGAGGGAGGGAAAGAAAGAAGGAAGGAAGGAAGGAAGGAAGGAATGAGGTAGAAAGAGGGAGGGAAAGAAAGAAGAAAGGAATGAGGTAGAAAAGGAAGAAAGGAGAGAAAGAGGGAGGGAAAGAAAAAGGGGGAGGAAGGAAAGTTAGAGAAAGAAGGAAGGAGAGAAGGAAAGAAAAAAGGGAAAGAAGGAAGGAAAGAAGGAGCGAAGGAAGGGGGGAAGATGTAGAGAAAGAGGGAGGGAAGGAAAGATGGAAAGAGAGAAGGAAGAAAAGAGAGACTGCAGAAGAGAAAAAGGAAGAAGGAAGGAAAGAGGGAGCGAAGGAAGGAGAAAAAGGAGAGAAAGGGAGGGAAAGAAAGGAAGGAAAGAGAAAGGAAGAAAAGAAAACAGCAGAAGAGAAAGAAAAAGGGGGAGAAGAAGGATAGAGAAGGAAGGAAGGAGAGAAGGAAAGAGAAGGAAGAAGGAAGGAAAGATGGAGCGAAGGAAGGGGGAAAGAAGGGGAGAAAGAGGGGGAAGGTTGGCCACAGCAGCATGGCGGGTACAGCTAGTTATAATACAATTATAATATAATATAATATAATAATAATATAGTAATATAATATATAATAATATAATCTATATATATAAATCTGTTAGGTTGGTTCAACGGGACAGCAAAACTCCACAACCCCCCAACGAAACTGCACCAAAATTGCCATGCCCCAAGGACAACCCACTCAGTACAAACTAATCCACTCAGAATTGAAAACAACACAACAACACACAGATAAATCGCCAAAACAACTGAGCATGCGCACTGGAGCAAAGTCCCCAGCGCGCGCACACACATGGCCGAACGGCCAACGCACCCTCCGCACTTCCCTCCCTCCCTCGCCCCGCCCAGCACGAACACGTCACCGCCCACACACACACACACACAAACAACGCAACTTCCCCCGCCCCCTTCCCTCCACCCCCTCCTTCATCTTACCCCTCCCACGCTGCCTCCAAGCCCCGCTCCGCACACTCCAAGCCTCGCCGCGCCGCATCCCCACTGGAAAGACACGCCCCCTCCCTTTAAATATTTAACTTTATTAAATGTGAATATCTTTGAAATTAGCTTATATTAATAATTAAGAAAAAATTTAATTTTTTTAAAAAAAAATGGGAAAAAAAAAATCCTTCATCTTACCCCTCCCACGCTGCCTCCAAGCCCCGCTCCGCACACTCCAAGCCTCGCTTGCACCAGACATCCCCACCGGAAAAACACGCCCCTTCCCTCCTCCCACCACCTCCAGAAAGACATGCCGGAAAGGAGTAAGTCACAGAGGGAAGGGGTGGGGCAAAGGGAGGGGGCGTGTCTTCAAAGTCGCCCCCTCCCTTCGCCCCCACCCCTTCCCTCCCTGACTCACTCCTTCCCTCCTCCCTCCCTCTCTGGAAAGACACGCCCCCTCCCTTTGCCCCACCCCTTCCCTCCGTGACCTTGAGTATGGGAGTTGTAGTTCACCAACATCCAGACAGCACTGTGGACTCAAACAATGATGGATCTGGACCAAACTTGGAATAAGCATATTCCATATACCCAAATATCAAAACAGATGGAGTTTGGGGGAAATAGACCTTGACATTTGGGAGTTGTAGTTGCTGGGATTTAGTTCACCTACAATCAAAGAGCATTCTGAACCCCACCAACGACAGAATTGGGGCAAACTTCCCACACTGAACCCCCATGACCAACAGAAAAGAAAGAGAGAGAGAGAGAGAAAGAAGGGAAAGGAAGGAGTGTGAGAGAGAGAAAGAGGGAAAGAGAGCGAGGGAAGGAAGGAAGAGAGGCCAGGCAGAGACTTCAAAACTCTTACTAAAGGCCACAGCAACGCGTGGCAGGGCACAGCTAGTATAATATAATAGTATTATAATAATATAATATATATTATATATTATATTATAATTGTATATTATATTATATTATATTATATTATATTATATTATAATTGTATTTTATATTATAATATATTATATTATATTTTATACTAGCTGTACCTGGCAACGCATTCCTGTGGCATAGAGTGAGGGTATGAAAAATAAAGTAATGAGAAATTTTGGGCAAGAAGGATGCCAGGAGAAAGAGGAGGGAGGGGGGAATGTGGGATTTGCCAGCTGGAAGGAAGGAAAGAAGGAAGGAAGGAAGGAAGGAAGGAAGGAAGGAAGGAAGGAAGGAAGGAAGGAAAGAAGGAAGGAAGGAAAGAAGGAAGGAAAGAAGGAAGGAAGGAAGGAAGGAAGAAGAAGGAAAGAAGGAAGGAAGGAAGGAAGGAAGGAAGGAAGGAAGGAAAGAAGGAAGGAAGGAAAGAAGGAAGGAAGGAAAGAAGGAAGGAAGGAAGGAAAGAAGGAAGGAAGGAAAGAAGGAAGGAAGAAGAAGGAAGGAAGAAAGAAGGAAGGAAAGAAAGAAGGAAGGAAGGAAAGAAGGAAAGAAGGAAGGAAGGAAGGAAGGAGAAGGAAGGAAGGAAGGAAGGAAGGAAAGAAGGAAGGAAGGAAAGAAGGAAGGAAAGAAAGAAAGAAGGAAGGAAGGAAGGAAAGGAAAGAAGGAAGGAAAGAAGGAAGAAGGAAGGAAGGAAGGAAGGAAGGAAGGAAGGAAGGAAGGAAGGAAGGAAAGAAGGAAAGAAGGAAGGAAGAAGGAAGGAAGGAAGGAAGGAAGGAAGGAAGGAAGGAAGGAAGGTAGCCCAGTGCAGCCCAGAGTGAGGCAAGAAGAAGCATGAGGAAAGAGGAGGGAAGCAGCAGAGCAAAGGGACCGGAAGTGGGGTAAATGCGAGATTGTAAAACTTGCACCAGACATACGAAAATAATTACGAAATAATTACGAAATAATTACGAAAATTGGAAAAAAATTGTTTCGATTCTTAATTACTCCTCGCACTATTCCTGCATGGCTCAATATCGGATCGTAAGCTAATTTAAATACGAATCAATAACGAATTACGAAATTAACGAACTGGATCGCCCAAGCCTATTAGATATATGTCTCAACTGACCACGCAAGAGCAAAGTCCTACCTTTCCCACACGTGACCGTGCATTCGGTGGTTCCAATCTGCTTCCAGTTGTAATCTCGATTGCGTCGAGGGGGCTGTCCGGCCGGCACCTGGTTGTCTGGCGGATGGGAAGGAAATCTTCCAGGCTGAATTATGGGGAAAGTCCCCACAGGTTGGCCCATGTGCGTCCCTGTCTCCCTGCGCAAAGTCTCCTCCTCGTAATTCACACTCTCCGTCACATCCAGCTGGCCATTGAAGGGCTCCCCTGTGGGATTGGAAATAATCATCTATATAAATAAAAATGTAATGTTCGTTTGTGGGATTAACAGAACTCAAAAAACCACTGGACGAATTGACACCAAATTTGGACACAAGACACCTAACAACCCAATGTATGTCCTTCACTCATAAAAACATTGAAAAACACAGCAGAAGGGACTTAAAAAGACCCAAAAAGCTAAATGACGAAAAGCTACATGACAATACAGAAAAAAGGAAGAAAGAGGGAGGGAAGGGGAGGAAAAAAAAGAAAGAAAGAAAGAAAGAAAGAAAGAAAGAGAAAGAAAGAAAGGAGAAGGAAGGAAGGAAAGGAGAGAAGGAAGAAAAGAGAAAGAGGAGGGAAAGAAAAAGGGGGAAGGAAGGAAAGAAGAAGGAAAGAAAAAAGGAAAAGGAAGGAAAAAGAGGGAGTGAAGGAAGGGGGGAAGATGTAGAGAAAGAGGGAGAGAAGGAAAGAAGGAAAGAGAAGGAAGAAAAGAGAGACCGCAGAAGAAAAAGAAAAAGGGGAAAGGGAGGAAAGAGATAGAGAAGGAAGGAAGAAGACAAGGAAAAATGAGGAAGGAAGGAAGGAAGGAAGGAAGGAAGGAAGGAAGGAAGGAAAGAGGGAAGGAAGGAAGGAGGGAAAGGAGAGAAAGAGGGAAGGTTGGCCACAGCAATGCGTGGCGGGTACAGCTAGTCTATATAAATAAAAATGTAATGTTCGTTTGTGGGATTAGCATAAGTCAAAAACCACTGGACGAATTGACACCAAATTTGGACACAAGATACCTCACAACCCAATGTATGTCCTTCACTCAGTTTTTTTGATTTTGTCATTTGGGAGTTCTAGTTGCTGGGATTTATAGTTCACCTACAATCAAAGAGTATTCTGAACTCTGCCAATGATGGAATTGGGCCAAACATGGCACACAGGACTCCCATGACCAACAGAAAACACGAGAAGGATTTGGTGGGTATTGAACTTGAGTTTAGGAGTTGTAGTCCACCTACATCCAGAGAGCATTGTGGACTCAAACATTGATGGATTTGGGCCAAACTTGGCACGAATATTCCATATGCCCAAATATGAACACAGATGGAGTTAGGGGGGAATAGACCTTGACATTTGGGAATTGTAGTTACTGGGATTTATAGTTCACTTACAATCAAAGAGCATTCTGAACCCCACAAACGACAGAATCGGGGCAAACTTCCCACACAGAACCCCCATGACCATCAGAATATACTTAAGGCCATCCAATCCAACTCCCTTCATCAGGGCAAGACAATGTAATCAAAGTCCTTACCTGGCCGTCTGTGAAGAGGCACCTGAGGGCTGATCACATTGGGTCCCGGTATGATGTATTCATAATGTATACCTGGATTAGGCTGCTGATGGATCATCTAAAACAGAGAAGAACCAAAGAGAGGTATTAGAAAGCAGTCATTGTTTCTATAGCAAATAAATGGAGGGAGGCATGTCCCAGAGACCTCTATATCCGGACGTATATGAGACTTAAGTACAGTGTTTCCTCGCTCCTTCATGGTTCATTTATCGTAGAGTCGCTGTTTCATGGTTTTTTCCTGCACGACCCTTCTCCAGACCTTCCCTCCCTCCCTCTCTTTCTGTTGTACTCCAGGTCCAGAAGAAGCCCTCTGACTTTAAACATACCACACGATGAGTGATGAATCATAGAATAATATAATCAAAGAGTTGGAAGAGACCTCATGGGCCATCCAGTCCAACCCCCTGCCAAGAAACAGGAATATTGCATTCAAATCACCCCCGACAGATGGCCATCCAGCCTCTGTTTAAAAGCTTCCAAAGAAGGAGCCTCCACCACACTCTGGGGCAGAGAGTTCCACTGCTAAACGGCTCTCACAGTCAGGAAGTTCTTCCTCATGTTCAGATGGAATCTCCTCTCTTGTAGTTTGAAGCCATTGTTCCGCGTCCTAGTCTCCAGGGAAGCAGAAAACAAGCTTGCTCCCTCCTCCCTGTGGCTTCCTCTCACATATTTATACATGGCTATCTCCTCTCAGCCTTCTCTTCTTCAGGCTAAACATGCCCAGCTCCTTAAGCCGCTCCTCATAGGGCTTGTTCTCCAGACCCTTGATCATTTTAGTCGCCCTCCTCTGGACACATTCCAGCTTGTCAATATCTCTCTTGAATTGTGGTGCCCAGAATTGGACACAATATTCCAGGTGTGGTCTAACCAAAGCGGAATAGAGCATGGGGAGCATGACTTCCCTAGATCTAGACACTATGCTCCTATTGATGCCGGACAAAATCTAATTGGCTTTTTTTGCCTTCTTTTATTAAAGCTTAGTAAATAGCCAGAAGAAATAAATGCTTATAAGAAAATCAGCAGTTTTCAAAAGGTATTAGTGCATAAACTGTAGTAACCCAAAACAATGACCACACAAGAAATACAGGCAATCCAAGGCAGCATTAATCCAAACAAGAATCAAGCAGGATGCAAAGACAATTCAAAAGGCTAAAATAAACTCCACAGAAACAAGTTCCCTTGAAGAAGACTTCCATGGGACAAGAACTTGGTTTCCAAAAGATGCCTGATCTGACAAGATTTTCTACAGAAAAACCTTAAATCCCAAAAACTGGTTTTGTTTTCCCCCCAGTCTTTGACTTTAATTGACGAATTCTTTCGGATCTACGTAAATATTGGGCCTCTTGTCGATTCTGGATAATCTCCAGCTGCCGACTCTGCTTATCTGACTCCTCAGATGCCAGACTGTTTTCCAAACTAGAATCTGGAGAGCTCACAGACGGAGGGAGTAAACCTTTCTCCCAAGGCCTGACAGAAACATTCTCATGAGAATCTGCCCTTTGCACTGAAACCTCTCTGTCAGTGTCTGCAAGAAACTCATTGCCCAAAGTGTCTCCATTTTGCACATCAGAGTCAGTCCCAGGATCCCCCACATCAGAAACAACAGGAAACTGATTTCCCTCCTCATTATTCACATCAGACACAGAAACATCAGGAGACTGAAACACATTCACAGGTTCAATCACAGGCTGAGTCCCAACAAAGAAGAGGAGGAGGAGGAAGAAGATGCTGGGGCCGGGGAGGAAACTGATTTAGCCGCCGGAGCCACTGCCCCTTCAGCCAGGTCTCCTCTGGTGGCAGCTCCTACAGATCACAGGAGCTGTCTTCATAGACCTGTCAGCAGCCTATGATACCGTGAACCACCGCCTCCTCCTGAGAAAAATGTATAATATCACAAAGGACTACCACCTCACCCACCTCATAGGAAACCTGCTACAAAACAGGAGCTTTTTGTTGAGTTCCAAGGCCAGAGAAGCAGATGGCAGAAACAGAAGAACGACCTGCCTCAAGGGAGCATGCTTGCTCCATCCATGTTCAACATCTACACAAATGACCAGCCGCTGCCAGAAGGGACAGAGAGTTTCATTTATGCTGATGATCATGCCATCACCGCTCAAGCAGGGAACTTTGAGTTGGTAGAACAGAAGCTCTCCGAAGCTCTAGGTGCTCTTACTGCCTATTACTGGGAAAACCAGCTGATCCCTAATCCATCTAAAACACAGACACGTGCCTTTCACCTTAAGAACAGACAAGCATCCCGAGCTCTGTAGATTACCTGGGAAGGAATCCCACTGGAGCATTACAGTGCACCCAAATACCTGGGAGTTACTCTGAACCGTGATCTTACCTACAAGAAGCACTGCCTGAACATCAAGCAAAAAGTGGGTGCTAGAAACAATATCATACGAAAGCTAACTGGCACAACCTGGGGATCACAGCCAGACACAGTGAAGACATCTGCCCTTGCGCTTTGCTACTCTGCTGCTGAGTATGCATGCCCAGTGTGGAACACATCTCACCATACTAAAACAGTGGATGTGGCTCTTAATGAGACATGCCGCATTATCACGGGGTGTCTGCGCCCTACACCACTGGGGAAATTACACTGCTTAGCCGGTATTGCACCACCTGACATCCGCCGGGAAGTAGCAGCCAATAGTGAAAGGACCAAGGCAGAGACATCACCAGCTCATCCCCTGTTTGGGTATCAGCCAGCACGTCAACGACATAAATCTAGAAATAGTTTTCTAAGATCTACAGAGACACTCGCTGGTACACCCCAGCAAGTGAGAGTCCAAAAGTGGCAGGCTCAAACCAAGAACCTCAACTCATGGCTGATACCAAATGAGAGACTCCCCCCTGGGCACACAGAGGACTGGGTGACATGTAAGGCACTGAACAGACTGCACTCTGTCACCACGAGATGCAGAGCCAACCTCAAGAAATGGGGCCACAAAGTGGAATCCACGACATGCGAGTGTGGAGAAGAGCAAACCACTGACCACCTGCTGCAATGCTACCTGAGCCCTGCCACATGCACAAATGGAGGACCTTCTTGCAGCAACACCAGAGGCACTCCAAGTGGCCAGATACTGGTCAAAGGACATTTAATCAACTACCAAACTCACAAATTTTGTATTTTGTCTGTTTGTTTGCTTTTTTCTGTTAGAAATGTAACATAATTGACTGTTTGCCCTGACATGAGAAATAAGTTATTGCGGGTGGTCCTGGAACGGAACACTCGCGATAATTGAGGGAACATTAAGTCTAGTCATGTTCAACTCTGGGGGTTGGTGCTCATCTCCATTTCTAAGACGAAGAGCCAGCGTTGTCTGTAGACGCCTCCAAGGCCATGGCGTCCCATCTTAGGATACTGAGGAACTTCTAATTCATTGTGGCAAGAATTTTGCTGGTGTCTATAACATGCAAAAGTTTCACATATGGAGGTAAAGAACATTTGCCAAATTTCTCATCCTACTAAAAGGCTATGGGATTTTTCCTTCTTGAACTAGAAAAGATTGAAAAAAATATAATTGATTTAATTTATTCACCAACCCATATTTATCATGTTTTATATACAAATGGTGAGAAATCGTATCATACAAAAAGTGAAAAATAAGTGAAAGAATTGGAGAGAAAAAGTATTTTCAGCTTACATAAACATCCAAGACTTCGTTTGTTGGGCCGTCGGCTAAAAATGACTCCCCAGCAGTGCTTGAGATCTCATTGGGGCGCTTATAGGTGAACATTGTTCCTCCTCCCTCGTATCTCCCAGGTCGATCGATTGCCCAGTTCCCATTGATAATAGATCGTCCCGTTCGACTCCGCAGTGCTGTAAGAAAGGAATTGGGGAGAAGGAAATCTGTTTATACCTTACACACACATACACACAGTGCTGCCAAGTCAATTATGTGACTGTTTTGATCATCCTTTCAAAGAAGAAGAACAGAAATCAATGTATGGATTAGTGAAACCAATGAGGAATGAATGGCCCAGTTTCTAGATACCATAGAATCATAGAATCATAGAATCAAAGAGTTGGAAGAGACCTCATGGGCCATCCAGTCCAACCCCCTGCCAAGAAGCAGGAATATTGCATTCAAATCACCCCTGACAGATGGCCATCCAGCCTCTGCTTAAAAGCTTCCAAAGAAGGAGCCTCCACCACACTCCGGGGCAGAGAGTTCCACTGCTGAACGGCTCTCACAGTCAGGAAGTTCTTCCTCATGTTCAGATGGAATCTCCTCTCTTGTAGTTTGAAGCCATATGTGTTTGAGGAGCCAATATAAATAAAAATGTAATGTTCGTTTGTGGGATTAACATAACTCTAAAAACACAGGACAAATTGACACCAAATTTGGACAGCATATACCTAACAACCCAATGTATGTCCTTCACTCAAAAAAAACCCACCTGATATTGTCATTTGGGAGTTGTCGTTGCTGGGATTTATAGTTTACCTACAATCAACGACCATTCTGAACTCCACCAATGATGGAATTGAACCAATCGTGGCATGACCGCATTTCCGTGTACGAACCCACACAATCTCTTTGATCATCTGGAGAGGCCCTACTCACGCTCCCTTCTCCTTTGCAGGCGTGATTGGTGGAGACGAGGGAGAGGTCCTTCTCGGTGGTGGCCCCCCAACTCTGGAACTCACTTCCCAGGGACATTGGACATGCCTCAATGTTGGCAGTCTTTAGGAAGAGCCTGAAAACATGGTTGTTCCAGTGTGCCTTCCCAGAATAAGGAGAACTCTCAGCAATATAGAATCATAGAATCAAAGAGTTGGAAGAGACCTCATGGGCCATCCAGTCCAACCCCATTCTGCCAAGAAGCAGGAATATTGCATTCAAATCACCCCTGACAAATGGCCATCCAGCCTCTGCTTAAAAGCTTCCAAAGAAGGAGCCTCCACCACACTCCGGGGCAGAGAGTTCCACTGCTGAACGGCTCTCACAGTCAGGAAGTTCTTCCTAATGTTCAGATGGAATCTGATATGTCCTCACAATGCACTTTAATACTGACTTAGGATGGACTGTGCTCCCTCATTATTTTGGGTGGTGGCAGCAACTCTACCAGAGTATACATGTTACCTCAGCATACATCTAAACACTCCATGCCAAGAAGCATATTCCATCAGATTGGTGACATTTTCTCATTCCTTTATTTTTGAGATCACCAGACTGGGCCACAGCAACGCCTGGCAGGGGACAGCTAGTCCCTAATAAAAAGAAGAATGTGAGGAGACCAAAGGTGGGCGCAAGACTCATGAGGGACTCATATCAGAATGATTTATAATCAGCTCTGGATGTTTCCTCCGGTGGCGCAGTGGGTTAAACCCCTGTGCCGGCAGGACTGAAGACCGACAGGTCACAGGTTCGAATCTGGGGAGAGGCAGATGAGCTCCCTCTATCAGCTCCAGCTCCTCATGCGGGGACATGAGAGAAGCCTCCCACAAGGATGATAAAAACATCAAATCATCCAGGCGTCCCTAGGCAACGTCCTTGCAGACGGCCAATTCTCTCACACCAGAAGCAACTTGCAGTTTATCAAGTCACTGGATAAGAGTTTGAGTAAGCTTGCTTGCTTACTGCCTCCCACTTTTTTTACAATGCACCCATCTCTCTTGTGATTTATTTATTTTTATTATTTATTATGTATTTTATTTTATTTCAAATATTTGTACCCCGCCCTTCTCTACCCCCGAAGAGGGACTCATGGCGGCTTACAACTGGCAACAATTCAATGCCTCACGTATACAAACAGATAAAACAACAGTTACACAATAAGTAAAACATTAAAATTAGATTAAAAACCATTTAAAATAGCGCAATTTGAATTAGTTGGCATGTCCAAGTCCGAGTTCTACGATCAACAACTTAATCCGAAGCCTGTCCGTAGTCCATTTTCCCTAGTATTGTCGTCATTTTTTATTGTCAGCCTGCTATCCGAATGCCTGGTCCATGTGATCTGTCCATGGTCCTGATATTTCAATTCTCATCCGTTCATTTCTTGCTCTTCTCATAGTCTCCTAACTGTCTGCCCATCTATGGATATCACATCTGAAGGTACTTCACATGGTTCTACTCCGAGGTTGGTCAAGGTGTCTCACAACAGAAGTATGTTCTGAATGGGGTATTGCCTACCACACCTTCTAGACCAGAGAGAGACCTCCTTCAACAACTGAGGGTCAACATGCCCTCAGAACAAAGCTTTCAAGGAGCCACATGAAAGTTGACATGGAAAAGTCAAAGTTGTTGTTGGTGGACATAACCTTCATAGAGTTTCCCTTCTCCACCTGCTTATTAGGTTCCAAACTGTCTGCCCATCTATGGATATCTGAGTCTATCACATCTGAAGGTACTTCACATGGTTCTACTCCAAGGTGTCTCACAACAGAAGTATGTTCTGCATGGGGTATTATCTACCACACCTTCTAGACCAGAGAGGGACCTCCTTCAACAACTGAGGGTCAACATGCCCTCAGAACAAAGCTTTCAAGGAGCCACATGAAAGTTGACATGGAAAAGTCAAAGTTGGTGGTGGTGGAGGACATAACCTTCATAGAGTCTCCCTTCTCCACCTGCTTATTAGGCTCCAAACTGTCTGCCCATCTATGGATATCTGAGTCTATCACATCTGAAGGTACTTCACATGGTTCTACTCCAAGGTTGGTCAAGGTGTCTCACAACAGAAGTATGTTCTGAATGGGGTATTACCTACCACACCTTCTAGACCAGAGAGGGACCTCCTTCAACAACTGAGGGTCAACATGCCTCAGAACAAAGCTTTCAAGGAGCCACATGAAAGTTGACATGGAAAAATCAAAGTTGGTGGTGGTGGAGGACATAACCTTCATAGAGTCTCCCTTCTCCACCTGCTTATTAGGCTCCAAACTGTCTGCCCATCTATGGATATCTGAGTCTATCACATCTGAAGGTACTTCACATGGTTCTACTCCAAGGTTGTTCAAGGTGTCTCACAACAGAAGTATGTTCTGAATGGGGTATTACCTACCACACCTTCTAGACCAGAGAGGGACCTCCTTCAACAACTGAGGGTCAACATGCCCTCAGAACAAAGCTTTCAAGGAGCCACATGAAAGTTGACATGGAAAAGTCAAAGTTGATGGTGGTTGAGGATATAACCTTCATAGAGTCTCCCTTCTCCCTCTGCTTATTACTCTTTTCCTCAGATTGGAAATATTAGATTGTTGGCGTCCCATCAAACCTCAGTCCAAACACCCTAAGGCTCCAGATTTCATCTGCTCTTGGGAATGAAGCTGGTTCATCTCTGATTAGAACTTGGATGGGAGACCACCAATGAATGTGAAGTGCTGTAGGCTATATTTCAGAGCAAGGAATGGGCAAAATCATCTTGTCATAAGCTGAGAAGTGACTTGAAGGCACAGGCAAGCATACCTCTTCCAACATTAGACAATGACTCAAATTCTATCTCACAGATATGGAAACTCTCCTACAGAAACAGTTGTTTTTTATCTGATATGGAAGACCTGCTCAATGGACATTGTATATTTGGATTCATACATGCATATTTCCAGATATATTGTCCTGTAATGTCACCATTTCTAGGACTCTAAGATCTTCTGGGGAGGCCCTTCTCTTGCTCCCATCGTCCTTGAAGATGCAGTTGGTGGGGACAAGAGACAGGGCCTTCTCAGCAATGGTTCCCATCCTAGGGACATTAGATTAGCCCCCTCCCTCCTAATATTTCGAAAGCAAGTCAAAACCTGGCTTTTCGAGCAAGCTTTTGCAAATGCAGTGTAACTGACAAATTTAGACCCATGGAATGACTGGACGATGTGACTGGAAAATGTTTTAGTAATGAGACGCTAAGTACTTATGCTTTTACTGGTTGTATATGGTTTTATATTATATGTTAATGGGTAGATGCGGGGAATGCCATGGATGTAGCGTACCTGGATTTCAGTAAGGCCTTCGACAAGGTCCCCCA